TCCTGGGATTTTATCAAAATAGATATAATGGAGGACATGTTTTAGTATGAAGATTCGATACAATAAAAGGATTTATCTACAATAAGAATGATCTATGGCCTTGAGCCTAGAGTCATAGAATAATTCCTTGATGCTTCCCATAGGGATAGGAAAGAGTAAAGTGGCTGGTTAAGCAGCTAGTCCTAATCTAGGCACATACGCCGATTAGAGAAATGCCTTTTCAAAGCTTAGCTTATGATATTCTCTTACTAATAGAAAACAATCTTTCTTTCGAGAAAGTCTTCCGCGCTCTATTAGGCTTTGGGGTCCATATCTTCTTGAATAGTTTATTGTTTTCCCCTTGGGATGAAGTCTCTTAGGTTGTCTACCATTGATTCAAGAGTCTCACCTTGGCGATCTACTGAGAAGGTCGTATCCATGGTCTCGACTCGCTCATACCCGACCCACCTCTCTGAGGGGGACTTCCTTGCTATGCCATCATCCTATTAGCTTAGCTGGTAGTCAATATATTTACTAGTCTGATGCACACTTGGAAGGCTCTCCTTTATCTTACCAGTCGTGCAACACAATACACGTGTTTAGGTCATAATTCTTATCTCAGGCTGATAAGTAGGCTTATAATTCCTTTGTTTTATGAACCTCTGGACCTTTAATTTCCAACTTCGGCCTATCATCTTATGTTTTTAGTTTTAAAAAAGAAAAGGTTTGCGCCCTAGAGTGCATCCACGTCTTAGCCTTAATGGATGAGGCTTGCTATTACAAGGGATAGATAGGCACTAACTCTAACAAGGTAGTTCTATGGAGATATAATGCCTTCTGGATACAACTCAAGAATAAACCATTACCTATCTTCCTAGTCCCTTTTTCTGAGCACAGGTGACTCTCTTAGTGTTAGTACTTGTTTAGTTAAGATGTACATAGTCTTTAGAGTACGACCATTACACAACAATATATCTTCCCCACTGGGTGCGTACGGTAAAGATGAGATACATCCTCAGGGCCTAAGTTGATCTTGACTTTCTTCGATCTTGATTCAGAGGCTTCATTTAAGTCTATGTAGAGGGAAAGATGATTGAGAAGTCGAACCTAGTCTTTGTTTGTGTGAGTTGTAGCAGATCACGTGGCTCGATGGAGGTTCCCTAGCGTCTTTTTTTTGAATGACTACCACATGCCATTTTACCTCAGTCATTTTGTCCTACTTACTTTTTTTCAAATATCCTATAGCGTACCATCTAGGTATCGTCTTGTAAGCCCGAAAGGGAAGATGAAAGTGCTCCTTCTTCTTCTTACTCCCTCTCGATCAGGGAGAATGACTCTTTTAAATCTAAGATTCGACCACTATTTGGTACACTGGACTATGTTGGTTTCCAAGAGATCACTGATAAACGGGTACTCCCGGGTGGAAGGAAGGTACATATCAGATATATAATTATCTTGCTCTAAGTTATTTATTTCCCTAAAATAGAATTGAGTACCTATTAGATGTAGGAGCGCTCTAGCATGGAGAATCGCTAGTAATCGCGGCACCGCCCATTAAAATAGTATATGTTGACAAAACGTAACATATGGGAAAGTCCTTGTTGTCCTTTCTCGGCGACAGTTCGCCAAAATGTAACCTAGTCTTTAAGATATATGGTCATTAAGGCACTTTCTGAATGACTTAGATGTAAGTTTGAATTAAGCTAATTGATTAGACCCAAGTCCTAATCGGTTAGATCCACCAAATTTTTCCCTCTAGCTATTTACGCAGCTCCTAAGTCATCTAGTGCAACTCCAAGACATTTTTAAAGATGTTTTCTCTTTGATAAAGATATTTGAAAAAGTTTTTAGTGTGTGCGCTTATAGTCATATACTTTTATGGAAAAGCTCATTCGCTTTTACATAAGTTCACACTCACTTACTAAATTAGGAGATTAACTCATTTTCTACAAACTATATGTCAGATATTATCTTCTGCATTGACATTGCTTGAGATCACTTGAGGCTTTAGATATTTTCCACTTTTTCTTGCCTTCTTTTGATAGTTCATAATTGTTATACCCTAATTTTTATCCCTAAGATCCCTCATTATTTTGCATCTTTGCAATACATCAAGATCACCACACTGAGTTGCCTCTTGCTCTCTCCCTTCTTTAAGTTTGCCTTTAAGGGACCACGATGCACCCATTGTATATCTTGTACATACATGCTTTATATTTTACTAACATATAATTAAAGTACAAAAAGGTATGTTGTGTTTCTCTTGTTTGTTTTGCAAGGACAAGTGTGAACCAAGTGGATCAAACAATTGTCTTCAGCTAGGGGTTTCCTTTAATCAAAGTCAAAGTATGTCAACATTGATTCTCAAGGACTTGTGTATTAGGGTTCACCTATAATCTTAGGTCATATCATTTTCAAGTATCATTCAATCTCAATTGATCAAGGAGTACCCAAAGATTGGTTTCTTATTTATCAAGAAAGGTCAAAGGTTCATGTGTTTATTTTTATGTCTTCATCATCAAGTAACCTCAAGTGTGCACCATATTCAATGTCATGTCAGAAACGCATTCATCATCTTCCAGTATGAGACGACATGCAATTGGATGCCCGACTAACATTTCACACATGTCATAATTATGTAATCCACGTATCAAATTAAATATCCATTTGTTATTTGTCAACATATAACCACATGCCTTAAAGAGAAACTCACATTTTTCTTAAACCGATGTCATCTCATTTGAATTTCCAGAGAGGAGTTCTAGACTTTCCATTTCTTTCGACATCTCATTGTCATAAATGCAACTCTCATATTCGAACCATTATCAGACACCAAACCCTAACTCTGAGGCCTCCGTACGAATCTATTGAAACTTATTATCACGAAATTCAAACTATTGTCCATTTCTAAATAGGTTGTCAATATCTACCTCCTTCACAATAACACGTTTGACATCCGGAGATACAATAGATTTGGAGAAAACATCGGAATACATCATATCTAATGAAAACAATAACATAAAATGTTCAAAAACATGAAATTGAAACCAGATTAGGGGCAAATGAAAAAGACTCTGGAAATACATTTTCGAAAAAATTCATACAGAACCTATAAATAAATTTTTGAATTTAACGTAAGTTTTTCAATTACAAAACAAAATTAATGTGAGTAATGAGACTTGAAATAAACAATATTGTTAAATATTTTAAATTAAATTTAAAAATAAAATAAAATTCTCACTTAAAATATGTATTCCACAAAATTCCAGATAAGCCCTTCATTTTTTAATTATATCATTTCAAAATGTGAAACAAGAGATTTTTTTTATTGGCATAAAGATTAGGAAAATAAAGACAACTATTATTGACTGTCAATCGACTTGTGCGCAATTATAGAATTTGAAAATCATGTTCATTGTCAGACGTTAGAAATAATTTTGTAGTCCTTTCAATAGTACTATCCATAAAGGTCCACATGCTTTAAAACGTGAAGAAAATCTTTTTCTTTATTATCCTTCAATTTTAAAATGAATCTCATTTTGCACCTAGATTAAATAATATAATAATATTATTATAACACATTATTTTTATAAAATTAATTTTATTAATAATATATTAGAAATAGTATCCAAAATAAAAAATAAATGATATAATTGGAAAAAAAATAATAATTATTATATTAAAAAAATGAAAATGACAATCATTTTAAAACGAATTTTATTTAATAAAACGATAATCATTTTAAAACATAAAACAAATAAAATATATAAATAAAGCAAGATAAAGAAAATAGTATCAATGGTATTTCATCAGTTCCTTTTTAATTATCACTTTAAAAAAAATTATTCTTTTTTAAATATCACTCCAAAGTTTAAAATAATAATAATTATTATTTTTGATAAAATTACTCCTTGTTATTTAGTATTGAGAGAAAAATAAAATAAAATAATAAAAAGTTGAAAATATTATAGACAAAAAAATAATTATTGTGTAAAAAATAACAAAAATAATTCATTTTATTGATTGTGTAAAAACTTAAAAAATGACAATTAAAAAAAAGAGAATATCAATTAATATATCATTTAATAAAACTCTTGTGAAACTACATTTTCTCCTACTTTGTAATTCATCTGATTCTATTTATAAAATAAAATTTATTTTCTATATTTATTGAATAAATAACATATTTAAATAATATATAGAATATATAAATTAATTATTAAATAAATTTAAAAAATAAACTTTTTTTTTTATAAATAGAAGGGTTAAATATGTTTTATATCCTTATAAATATCTCAAATTTCATTTTTAATTCCTATTAAAAAAATGACAAATTTTGGTCTCTAAAAATTTTTGTTCATCCAGTTTTAATCTCTGTTATTTTCTAAAATTTAAAAAACTGTTTAATCACCCTTAAAATTTTAAATTTTTGAATAATATTTTTCATACGTGTTTAGAATGCTATAAAATGTTTCTTTATCAAATTTTAGAAATTTTTTAAAATGAGAAAAATAAAATATGATTTTGTTAAATTTCAAAAAATATATTAAAATAATGAAAATCTCGACTTAGAAATTAAATTTTGAATTTCTTTTTTTTCAATGAACTTTTTATAACGTTTTAAATATGTCAACAAAATAATCATTCAAAAATACACATAGGTTTAACAGCAGGGATTAAAACTACGTGCATAATAATTTTGTAGGGACTAAAACTTGCCATTATTTTAATAAAAACTAAAAATAAAATTTGAGATATTTATTAAGATCAAAAACATATTTAACCCTAAATAAATAAATAAATAGAATAAGAGTATTTCCTTTCCATACCAATTTCTCAAATTGTTCTTAGCTTTAATCTAAGGCTACTTTACATTTTAATACAAAAGACCATTTTATTAAAAAGTGAACAATACCTAAAACAATAGGAGTAGCACATAAGCGTCTAAATGAAAAATACAATAAGTAGTAAGAACTTGAAATAGAACGAGAAATAAACCAAAAGGATAATTTTAAGTTAATTCATTTACGAACAAGACCATTATTATTGGTAGCTCCATGTTGTTGAAATAGGTCAGTATAATCAGATGGTCCATATGGTTCAAATAGCTCTGCAAAATGATTCTTCTTCCTTTTGGGGTTACATTTCATGTCTTTGCACAACTGATCAGTATACCATATCCCACAACTAACAATGCATGTTCTCCCAAAATTATCTCTAGCATACTGCTTCATGTTCTCTTCCCATAATTTCACATTCTTTTCCATCTCTTTAATACTTGGCAATTCAATGTTTCCATCTAAAAATTGTGCTACCCACTGACATCCTATTTCATTTGTAAAAACATTTGATATGCTCTCCGTGTATCCTATCATTGCCACTTGTGGAATTCGAGGATGAATTATATGCCTGAAATTCCAACAAATATTTCAGAAAAACTATGAAGCACGGACACAGACATTAGACAATGACATCAACACTAATATATTAGACACTGATAATAATTTTAAAAAAATAAATAAATTTATTGAAAAAATTTCAACTTCCACGTTAATTTTTACCGTGTGGATGCTACTATAAAAATTTATCAAACTTTACTGACCTGTAAAGGGGAACTGATGATTTTTCTGGCATACTAAAGTACTTTTGGAATATTGGAGATTTGAATATGCTTCTAAGCTTTTGGTCACCTTTATAACCTGTAGCAAAAATAACTAAGTCTGATTCTATAGGCTTAGCATCTCCATCAACAATCAAACCTTCATTGCAGAAGCTTAGGCTTTGTGATTTCTTTATCCTGATGGATCCTTCTTTGAGTTTGTCAAAAAAGAAGTCAGGAAACAAGCCAAATTGACATGCAGAGAGTTCTTGATGAAAACTGTGATTAGGTACTATTCCATATTCTTTTAGTGGCAATTTCCATTTCAGATATGTTTCAACAAGTTTTGAAATTGCCCATCTCTGAAAAATCACGAGTGCAAGTATATAAGATGATACAAAAATCTAGACGTGAAAAGTGTTGGTCGCAAAATGTAGCTTACCAATGGTGTAAGTAAAGTGGCTAGAAGGAAAAGAAAGAAGTTTTCCCCAGGCTTGTGAACTAAAAGTTCTGCAAAACGACTGTAATAGAAATATCCAATACTAATGCTCCAAATGCTGAATTCAAGTAGAAACCAATGTGCGTTTCTATAGATAATCGTACAAGGACGTGTGACTCCTATACAAAATCAAGAAACGTCAAGAGGTGTTACACAACAAATAAACATAACTTGATATCAAGAATTATACTCTCACCATTTGCATCTGCACATTCAGCAGCTATATCAAGACCTGATTTTCCCGAGCCTACTACTGTAACTCTCTTGTTTTTTATCATTTCAGCAGCAAACTTGTTATCCAAGGAAGAGAACTCCATAGAATGCATAACTTTACCCTTGAAAATTTCCGGACCTTTTCCAAGCGGGAACTCAGGAAAGTTTGGAAAACCGCTATATTTTCCAATGCAAAGAATTACAAACTCAGCCTTGTGCACCTATATTTACCAATAGCATAATCACTTCAATTTTACTTATTGGTTATTCTTAGTTAAAATTATAACTAACCTTTCGTAACATTAAAGAATTTTAAAGTTCATTCTCATGGTATTTCATAGTATTTAGAATTGCACATGCCTTTGTCTGAATTTGAATTCATGACTTCTATGACTTCAAACAAAGAATAATATGTGTTTTGGCCTTTTTTTTTTTAATGTATAAGGCCAAAATAGATGTTGTGACACTAATTACAATTATTGTAGGGTGAATTAGTTACAATTTGTTTTTCGTCGCAAACTTATTTTTTCAAAATAAGTCTTTCATCTCCATCAAATAAAGATAAAATTATTATACTAATAGTTTCAATCTAGCACATGTTATCAATATGAAAATTGAGTTTGGTGACAATAAGTTGACTAATTATATATGAAATTATTAAATTTAAAAAGTTGACAATATACTTTTAGATCTAGATCTAGTCTTGATGATATGAAAATATGAAATTAACCCATAAATAAACAAACAAACAAACAAATAAATAAATAAATAAATAAATAAATAAATAAATAAATAAATAAATAAAAGCAATACAAAAATCTTATTATACCTCAGTTGAGAAATTCTTAGTATCTTGGACAGTAATATGCCATTTTCCCTTAGAGCCAAAAGGAATGCCATTACCACTCCACAATTCCCATGACTTCATTTCTTCATTACTTTCTCCAACATAATCAATATCAATCACTTTGGAATTGAATCTTATATAAGGAACAATGGAAAAATGTTGAGCATACGAGTTAAGATAATCTAGCACTTGCTTATTATCTGGTCGATCTTCTTTTACAGAAGAATCCCAAGGAAAATCTGAAAACTGATAGGTTTGTTTAGAGTTTTGAAGTTTGGTGGACCCAATAGTATGTCTCCATACTCCTCCAATGCCTTCATCAGCTTCATACACAATTGGATTATAACCAAGCTGTACAACATATTTGCAAGCAAGTAGGCCACTGATTCCTGTTCCAATTATTGCAACCCTTTTCTCCATTTTTAGATGATAACACTAATCGATTGTTATACCTATTTTCAGCTCTGTTGAACTAAGTAAGAACTAGATAGATGCTAATGACTTTAAATAAATGCACTGAGCCATGAACCAGGACTATTAAATATTTTATTTGTCCTCTTGTATTAGCATGTTTAAGATGGGGGCAATACATTATTTCTTTAAGGCAAAATCTCTAGAACTATATATATATATATATATATATATATATATATATATATATATATATATATATATAAATTGATTATTTTTACACACAATTATAAAGACTAATTCTTCAAATAACATAAGATTACCGTAGCCGACAAAATTCTTCTTAAAAAATCGACATTATTGTTCAATGTTAAGTTCAAACTTAAAACTTTTAATTAATTTGAAAAAAATATCTTATTATATTATCCAAATCCTCTATATAAATGAATTGAATAGATATTTAGTTTAATTTACGATAAAAAATTAATTATAATTTTAGTTATAAATTAAATTAATCATTTTAATTTTTTTAGTAGTGATTTTCATTTCTGAAAACTCAAAATTATCTTTCAGATATATACTTTCGAATGCGACTTCGGTATGCATATGTGAAATAACTCTTAAAAAATTTAAATTGAATGACTTCATATATGTATATCTGAAGTCGCATAATATTTTAAATTTATTTTAATTTTATTTTGAAAAAATATTTATTTATAATATAATTATAATATAATTAAATTGACTTATTAATAATTATAATTAAATTGAATTATTTTTATTACTAATAAAAAAACTTAAATTTATAATTAAAAAATAAATATTAAAGGAAATTTATGATATGAAATTAAATAATGAATGTAATAATTAAATTTTTACTTATAATGGTGAAACGTAATTGTTTTTTAATTATTTATTTAAAATTTTGTGAATAATTTTAATAAAAAATATTTTTTAAAAATTAATTATAATTTTAAAAATTAAATTAAATTTTGATGAAAAATTTTAATTATTACTTTAAATTTTATAATTAATTATTATGTTTAATTTAAAAATTTATTATATTAAATAAATATTTTTATATAAATAAATAATATTTTTCTATGTCTCACACACTAAAAATATATAAAATTTATATAAATAATTAATAAGATAATATAATTAATATAATTATTACACCTTGATTCTACCTTGATTCTAATTGTTTGAATACTTCGAATATGAAAACTATCAGAGATAAAATATTAAATTAATTTAAATTTTCATATCTAAAAATACTTTTAAAACCTTAAAATTAAATTATTTTGAATATGCATATTGAAAACCCCATGAAAAATTAAAATTTAATTCCTTCATAAATATATTTTCAAATTCTAAAAATATTTTAGAAATTTCATAAGAAATCCTGAAAAAGTCCACTAAGTTTTCAAAGAAATTCTAAAAAATTTACTATGTTTTCTAAGAAAGAAAGATTTTATCATTGATTGTTTCAAGGGATGCTCACGTGAATAAATCTGTACCGACCCTACTAAGTTTGTTTGTTACACGTAAAACAAGGGTGAGCTCGTGGTTTCGTTTTTGCAATTTTGAGAGTTTTGTTAACTTAGTGTAAAACAGTACTGTACTTCGCCCACGAGGAACTCGTGGTTACGTTTTTTTTCATAAATGTGATTTTTTTTCCTTCTTTTATTTGATCTCTAAATTATAAAAATCATATAAATAATTTGAATTTGCTTTATGCAAATAAACTTTTTTTAATGGAATCGTAATAATTCAAGTGCTATAACCGATTAATATGGATTATAATCGGTTATAAAT